AGAGTTGAGGGCTGTTTGGAAACTGAAAGAGTATTTGCTGTGTGAGCAAGGAGACAGCAAGGAACCTAGGCGTAGCTTAGCTCAACTGTTCTGTACTAAAGCTGCTTGGTGCTGTGGAACTAAAACTGAAAATGAAACTCCTCTGTTTGTGTTTTGCATTTGGAACAGATTTCTTTTCAGGTGGGGAGGGGGAGTAGAACTCCTTAGCATCAGAGTGTGTTAATAATAATAATATATGAAATGCTCTGATGGTCATTTGGAAAAATCCTTTCTTAATGAGTATCTAGAAGCCAAGAGGAACATACGTGCCAAATTTCAAGTTTGTAGGCTTTACGGTTCTGGAGATTTTATGATGATGCATGTGTGGTACTTTTATATATATAGATTAGGATTTCTAGAAATCTAAAGCTTAAAATAAGGGGTTAGGTAAACAGATTTCATACTGGGCCAGCGAAGGATGTGTAAAATCAAATGCTGAGAGACCACACAATCTATGTACAGGTAGTCCTTGATTTACAACTGGTTGGTTGCTTAGCAACTATTCGAAGTACCTCCCCAGAGGTACTTAGACTCAATTTCAAATTCTGACCTTCCATGCTTTTGGGGAGTCGCATTTTGGGCAGCTGCCAACCGACTCACATTTACAGCCATTTGCAGCATCCTGCAAGTCCCATCATCAAAATTAGTGATATATTTTTTTCCAGAAACTGGTATGTACTTCCAGCAAGAAACGACCATTGGCTAGAATCAGTTTGCTTAAAGACCATTGCAAAGGTGGTTATAACATTGTGGTCATGGACCTGTGGGGAGGAGCTGAATGACCGGCGCAACTTATGACCTAATTCCATTAATTACGGTCGTAACTTGAGGACTACCTGTACTTACAACCCTAGTATAAAGTTCTCTGATCCTCAAAAGGAAAGTGAGAGAAAGAAAAAGGCCCACAGGAGCATGGCGGATGGTCGTCTGTCATTGCTGGGGGGTGTGGGGGGTGGGGTGGGGTGTACCAAAAATAAATAGAAATGAGGCAGATGATTCGGCTGAGTATAGAAAAATCAGCCCTGCAGGAGTGCTTCGTACTCAAACCCCAATAAAACAGGAAAAACTAATTAAATGCTATTGTGATGACCCAGGTAACAAAGGCACAGAGGCAACACGGTCACATAAATAAGAAGTGTCCCTTTAGTACCTCCAACTTTGCCCCCAATGTCCAGGTTATCTTCAGCTGGAGAAAAAAAACTCTCCCAAGAACAGCCTTTAAGTGGAGGAAATTCAGTCCGAAAACCAAGTACATACAAACTGTAACTAAAAATCCACACAAACCACGCTGCAGCAATTAACTGGACAGGGCAGGAGAAGGAATTGCAGACTTGAAAGGCCAGAAAAACACATACAGTTGGGAAGATGCCAGGAACACAGATAAACCTCGATGATACCAGATAACTCATGATTTGCTCCCAACAACTTGCTGTGTGCAACTTCCCTTTTTAAACGCTGTGTTCCCAGCTGCAGCTAATGAAGGGAATCAGGACCCTTTCCTCCCCCGTAAGCCATGCAACCCAAGTTGCTCCCTTCTCCGTTCCTCCCTGCGTGCCCTAGGATGAAGAGGGGATGGGCCTGGGCCCTCCTCCGAATTCCCTCTCCCTTGCTCTACCTTTCCCTTGCTCTGCCCAGCCGGACTTTGCCCTTCCCCAGTTTCTTCCACAGCCAACGGAGCCACACTCCCATTCCCTGTCAGCTGCTTGGACTCCCCCTCCGAATCAGATTCCAACAGGGGCATGACAGCTATAAAGCCATGGCTTGTATACGTGCTAGTCGTTTCCAGCTCTAGGAGGCGGTGCTCATCTCCGTTTCAAAGCCGAAGAGCCAGCGCTGTCCGAAGATGTCTCCATGGTCATCTGGCCGGCATGATTAAACACCGAAGGAGCACGGAACGCTGTTACTTTCCCACCAAAGGTGATCCCTATTTTTCTACTTGCATTTTTTACATGCTTTCAAACAGCTAGGTTGGCAGAAGCTAGGACGAGTAACGGGAGCTCACTCCGTTACGTGGCACTAGGGATTCGAACTGCCAACCTTTCTGATCAACAAGCTCAGCGTTTTAGCCGCTGAGCTACTGCGCCCCTAATTACATAATGCCAAGTGTCTTACAAATCCATATTCAGGCAGTGGGTTGCATCTGAAATACTAAACTTCCGAACTTAAAGAACTACCAAAGAAAAATAGAGAAGATGCATACCAACCAGCCTGTCTGTCGTGATGAAAAAGGGAAGGCAGGCATTCTATAAAGCACTACGCATTGCCCACACTATTTAGGATTCATCAGAATTCAGCTCTGCAATGCAGGCCTACCTAGTGGACATGTATAATCGGCAGCGGTCGATGCATATTTGCAATGCAAACAAGTCCAAGTAGTTTTTAAAAAATGACTCTGTGTAATTCAAATGCATAGCCCTGTGCCCAGGAAGAAGAAAAATGGTCCATTGGTCACATATGCTAATTTCTGAAGCTGCACAGAAAGAAGAAAATAGTCTGTGGTTCCTATGTACTATTTTCTGTACATCTCCTAACCACAGAGATCTTCATGCATTAATAAGAGCAAATCTATACTCCTTATAGTCCAAGAAAATTCAAACAATCTGCCCTAAAAAGAATGTTAAAAGCTTCCTAATTAATAATATGGGCCTCAATATTAAACACCAAAGGCATGTGAGCAGAAACAAACCAGCTCTAGCAGAGAAAAACTCCTATCAAAATATTGGAAAATTGTTCATTCCAGCAATCTGAAATTCATCACCATGTACAAAACGTATTTGTGCAAAAATGCTTTTTGAAGATCTTCTGCTAGAGAAGAAAATTATTAGTCCAATTTCTATCGCGTATTTCCTTGGGAGAGTAATTTGACATATCATACATTGCCTTGATTTCCCCACCCAACTCAAAAAAATCTCAAAAATCCTGGTTAGAATGAACGATAATTATCTCAGAATCACATTGGGAAACTTCAACCTGTAAGGATGAACCTCTATCTCCCCAGGCCTACTACAAAATCTGGATCACTTTAGCACATTCAGGACGCTGCATTCTCACAACATTCAGAATCGCAAATTAGCCAGCCACAGACTAACTACTCTACAAATCCAATCTGCATAGTTCAGTTATGGATCATTTTGTGTTAACCCACTAAACTGGAGCCATTTCATCAATTATTGATTACATTTGCTGTGTATTGTGCACAAAAATTCTGGCTCTCAAGGCTCTACTTCACCATTATGGAAAAAGAAGGCCAAAATGGAGAGGCTTAGCCCTCATCCAGTCTTTTTAAAGGTCTTTTAAAACATGCAGAAGGTGCCAAATTTAATATTTGCCTTTTCCAATTTAAAATCATTAGATGACTGAAGGTGAATAGAATTGTTATTCTTCTTTAAATGTATAATTTTTCTTCATCTGTTTCTTCTGTTAAATGTATGTATGATTTCACTTAGGTTTCAGTCCTTAAACATCTGCCTAATGAATAAGACTACACTGCAAATCTGCAGACCCCTACAAACTTACTTAATGTTTATTTTTTAAATGAACTTTTAAAAGGCTGGATCAGGGCTAAGCCCATATGCCACGAAAGAACACAAAGGAAATAAAGATCCACGCAAAGGAAAGAAAGAACAAAAGAAAACAAGCACTTCCCACATTAAACCAGTCTGCATGTAGAACCATTACTGTATAATAATTAAGATGCTGAACTAGAAATTAGGAAACGCTGCTTTCTAGTCCTCCATTAAGTACAAAGCAGATAGGGTGACTTTGGGCCAGTCTTTCACACTCAGCCTAACCCATTTCACATGACTGTTGTTGTGGGGAAAAGGAAGCAAGACCAATATGTACACAGTGTCCTGATTTCTTTGTACAAATCAAGGCGAGATATAAAACATGGATACCAACCTAAATAAGAATTTGTGGATTTCCAAGGAGCAGAGGTCCACCAATTACAATATACCTAAAGTTTCTCCAACACAAATCTGTGCGTCAGAAAAGCGGTTCAACTGAATTTAATGGGACTTGGTCCCAAATAATACAATCATAATCAATAGCAGCAGGATGGCCCTTCCATGTAAGGATGCTTTTCTTCTAAATTGATGTTTCTCAAATTTGGCAACTTTAAAACAAGTGCTCTTCAACTCCCAGAATTCCCTATTGCTGGCTGGGAAATTAGGGAAACTGACAATTCACATGCCTTAAACTTGACAAGTTTGAGAAAGGAAGTTGAAAATGCTAGTTAGCCAGATGACAAAAATCAGGGGAAATAGCCACCCAAATTAAACCTCCAATTCATGCATAAGCACACCAATGTGCCTATCATCTGTCTTAATGTTCCATTTTATTCATAACTATTTCATGTATTAATAAACATGTTTATGCATATGTATGTATGTATGTATGTATGTATGTATGGCATTCAGCTTTGTTCGGGTATTTTCCCACGTCATTGTAGTTGTGCTTTTAAAGTTGTAGCAATGTTTTGGCAGAATCTCATCTGCCATCATCAGGCTTCTGTATAGTGCTGTATAGAGAGAGAGAGAGAGAGAGAGAGTGTGTGTGTGTGTATTTCCTGGGTCTGGGACTCCTAAGAGAAACCAGCCTCTGGGGATGCCAGGCACTTGCTTTGCGGGGAGTCCCAGCAAAATTAAAAAGCGGAGCCGCTTGTTCAGGTGGCAGGAAAAATCCAACCCACGCCTTCTTTTTCCTCCATATGCTTTTTGGGGACTTCCACTCCCAGAATTACTGCACCGCTCAGCCATTGGCTTTACCGCTCAGGGAATTATGGGAGATGAAGTCCAAAAGGCTAAAGGACGCTTGCTTTGCAGAAAGGGAAGGAAAAACGGTCCCCCTTAAGGGACGCCTCGAGCTACGGCGCCGCATTCCGGGAAGCCCGAGGGAAGATGATCCAACAGGCTCGCCAAAGAAACCACCTGTTCTACAACCCTCGGCGTGGCCACACTTACCGTGCCCCCTTCGTTCCGCCCGCGGCGCTCTCACGTCGACAGCACGCCGCTTCCCACCGCGCGCAACGATTGGTGGAGAATCCGGATTATCCCATCAGCCCTTGCGGCGGCGCGCCAAGCGGGCCCCGCCCATGCCCTTGTGACGCTACAGAGGGAGGGGTGGGGAAATAGGGCGCAGGAATAATACGAAATAAAAATGAGACTCACTTAAATTGGGAAATGCTTGATTTTCTTTCGTTCTTTCTTTCCTTTGTGCGGACCTTTCTTTGTGTTCTTTCCCGGCGTATGGGTTGAATGAGCTCTGGGTGGTGGCCGTGAGACGCCTCCCTAAATCACAACTAGCAAGGCTTCGTTGCTATGGAAACAGGAGGCCATGCAGCTTCCATTTCGATGGCCATGAAAAATCCAAGGGGCGGGGGGGGGGGGGGGGGGAGGGGGTAATTGGGGGAAAACCCACTTGCAAAAAGGAATAAAACTTGCAATAAAGTCAGACAAAAAAGCCAATCACTAGTCCTCGACATGAGCCCAACTGGACCAGAATTTCCATGAGAAGCAAAACAATGATCTTTATTTTGCCATGTATGAATCATGCAGTTGTTAAGTGAATCACATGGTTGTTAAATGAGTCCAGCTTCTCTCCTTGACTTTGCTTGTTGGAAACCAGCTGGAAAAGTTCTAAATGACAATTGCATGACCCTGGAATCCTGCCACCATAGTAAGTAAATACATGCCAGTTGACAGGTGCCTGGATTCTGATCACATGATCACAGGGATGCTGTGCTCCTTGTAAGTGCAAGGACTGACCACAAATGATTTTTGTCAGTGCCGTTGTAACTTCAAATGGTCGCTCACTTAACCTTGATTTAGACTTCTGCATCATTGCTGTTCAGGGAATATATGCATTTGTCATTCAAAGATAGTTGCGTAGCTGTTGCACTTCTACAAATGTTAAAGTTCTTGAGTAATAATACTATGCAATTATTGATCTTCTGCAGGTTCCAGTCTTGAGGGGCAGGCTTGCTTGTACACACTGCGAAGAACATCAAAACACACTACAACAACATCGATTATCAATGGTTGAGGCTGCTAGAAGTGCAAGAGCCAGAACTCTGAATCTCTCTAGACACTCAAAGCAGCAAAAGAGGAAGTGAAGAAGAAGATGACAGCAGCAAGACAGATCATAGAGAAGCCCTTTGGAACTCTGGCTGCAAGATGGTTGATTCTTGGGCAGCCCATAAAGTTCCACCCAGATAAAATCTCTGATACATGTATTGCTCTTTACAATCACTGATGCCATCAACATACCAACAAGAAATGTGCCACCTAAGTTTTTAGACTCTCTTTCAATATCTGATGGGATACAGGAGAGAGGATGAAGGACAAACACTAAAACATCACATACTTCTCCAGGAGTCTGCAGGGACCTGATGCAGTTTTTCCAGACCCCACCAGGGAAGGTGCCCTGGCAGGATGCAGTGTTGAGGTGTGGCAAACTAAACTGAAGCATAAATGTAGCAGAAAACTGACACTGCCTCAACCACACACTCTTTGATGTCCTCATCAATACTTTTTCTAACAAGAACCTCAGTCTTGTCTTGAATAGAAGTGTGTTTCTGTATGTTTTTCTACATGTAAGGGTGTTAAGAAATTTTGTTCAACAAACCCACAAATCAGAAATCTATAGACTATAGATCCATATATATAGTCTATAAATCTATATAGAACTATATAGATCTATAGTACTTTAGATCAGTTAATTTCAACACTAACAATGCTAAATAAAACTTAACAAAATTCTTCCTTTTCCTTCCTCTACCTCCCTAGCAAAGAACTGCACAAATGCCCCATCACAGATGGACAGAGTCATTTATTCTGGCCTTCGTTTGGTTCTATTGTGGTGTACTATGCATGTAAAAAGGTGTACAAAGCATACTAATTTCAAACTGTCAGAACAAAATGAATGAAAACCAAATACAAAAACATAAATACAAAATGGATTTTCCAACAGTAAAAATTAAACTGTTTTAAACTGTCAATGAAGCTGCTTCAAATTGTCCAAACTATTGGGCGTGTGCATCAGCAGGCACACTGAAGAATCTGGCTTTTGTGGCTTTCACACGATCTGGTGGCAGTTTCCTCAAAGAGTCCATAACAGCCAGTGCAAAAGTTTTATATTCATCGTTGCTCCGGCTGTTAGTGTGGCTCAACAACGACATCATTGCAGTATAGGTTTGAAGCTTCTCCCGGCATAGAGTGATAATAGTGTCCAGTATTTTGTCCCCTTCCATTTTCTTCCTCCTCTTTCTTGAATGGAGGGCCGGTGACTTTATGGATGACACAGTGGATACACTGGTTGAACCCTCATCCTCACTGCTGTGCAGTCAGAAGACACTTGAGTCCCTGAGGTATGGTATGGAAAACATGTCCTCTGTTTTCAATGTTGAGTCCAAGGAGTTTTGCTCTATGGGACTTGGAGTGACATCCTCAGGGTGTAATGGTATAATTTGTGCAAATGATTATCCAAACAGACAGATACATGATTGCATGCATAACCCCCTCGCATGCACTCATGTCATTAGCATGAAAACTTTATAGACAGCCATGCTGTCTGGGGAATTCTGGGAGTTGAAGTCCACAAGTCTTAAAGTTGCCAAGTTTGGGGACGCCTGTTCTATATAGTTCCCAAGAAGGGGTCAGACTAGAAGACCTCAACGGTCCCTGCCAGTCCCTAGGACTCTTCCCATATTCTGCCCATTTTGTAACCAGGGGTTGTGGGGGGTGGGGGGAACCAAGCTAATCCATCAAGACTTAAAACTGATTAGCAAATATTTTGATAGTTATATAATCAATATGGAAGATAATATGCTTTCTAATAATGATTGATATTATCCCATATCTGTTTGTACCTGATTATGATTAGGATGATGTTTATATTTTAAACACTTTGGACACCTAGAAAACACACTGCTCAATATAGAAATGGAATTTGTGATATAAAACAATAAAAAATATTTAATTTTAAAAAAAGAGTTCGATATGTTTTTGTTGCTAACTCCAGTTTAGGATTAAAGCAAGGAACTATAATGGCTGCTTCACAATTTGTGGACCCCAACTCCCAGAATTCCTGAGCCAGCAAAGCTGGCTCAGGAACTCTGGGAATTGGAGTCCACCAGTCTTAGATGGACGCTGAGCGTAGCGCGCAAGCAAAGCCACCCAAACGGCCGGGGAGAAGCGCGCAGAAAGGCGGTGAGAGGGCGCTCCAGGGCCGGACTCAGAGAGCCCTCCCGGGTCCGTCTTGCACCAGGTCCTCCCGGGTCGCTGGGAGGCAGGCGAGCGCCCGGCCGGCCCTGGAGAAGGAGCCGCGGCGCGGAGGAGGCGGAGGCACCGGAGCCCGCTCGCCATGCCGTACGCCAACCAGCCCACCGTGCGCATCACGGAGCTGAGCGACGACAACGTCAAGTTCATCATCGAGAACACCGACCTGGCGTGAGCAGCGGTGGCCGCCCACGGTCCCCGGGAGAAGCCCCTCGGAGGCGCTTCCTCCATCCCGTCCCCCGTTGCCCTCGCTTGCCCAGACCCGGGGACGGATAGACGGGGCGGGGGCGGCAGGTCTGCACGGCCAGGCGGTCTGGACACGCTGGTCTTTCACCCGGGCGTGGGGAGATGCAGCGTGGAATGGAAGACAGACGCGTGGGAGACACGCGGGTCCTTCCCTTCCACCCACATTTGGGGGGAGATCCAGTTATGGACAGCTGGTCTGGACACGCGGGTCTTTCCCACTCCCACCCGGGCGAGGGGAGATGCAAGCCAAGGCTAACTAGGCTGGACACGCGGGTTTCCTCTCCCCCCACCCAACCTATGGTGGGGGGAGATCCGGTTATGGACAGCTGGTCTGGACACGCGGGTCTTTCCCATTCCCACTCGTGTGCGTGGGGATATCCAGCATGGGGTGGGAGATCCGTGGGGTTGAAGGGAGACACGCAGGTCCTTCCCTCCCACCAGGGTGTGGGGAGATCCAGCCACGGTTAGCTGGTCTGGGCACAGGGGTCCTTCCCTCCCACCTGGGCATGGGGGGAGATCCAGCAGGGGGTGAAAGGAAAACACCTTCTCGACCACCCGGAGATCCAGCCACGGCCAGCCTGCCTGGAAACGTGGGTCCTTCCACCCAGGTGTGGGGAGATGCAGTGTGGGGTGAAAGACATGCCTTTCTCTTCCACATGTGGGGAGATCCACTACGCCAGCCCGTTGTGGGCAGGTGTGTCTTTCCTCCACCCACCCACCCATGGGTAGACTTAACAACTGACTTGTTTAGCAATGGAAATTTTGGACTCAATTGTGGTTTGAGTATTTCGAACTGTTACCATCAGGGAGACGCTATAGGTGTCTTAAAATGAGGACTAATAGACTGAGAAACAGTTTCTTTCCCAAGGCAATAATTGTCTTGAATCAAACAATGCATATGTGATTTAGCCCTATGTATATAGTGGCATTTTTAAACTATCTAACTTACTATATGTTTTAGACTAGGTTTTTAATTATTATTTTAATTATTTTAATTTTTAAATACTCTGAAGTGTGATTGTGATGTGATGTTTGGGACACTGTGCTGGAGTAGCTTTCAAATTTCATTGTATTTGTAGAATGCAATGACAATAAAGGTATTCTATTCTAAGGCCATGATGGCAAACCTATGGCACACATGCCACAGGGGGCACCCAGTCCCATTTGTGCTGGTACATGAGCCCCAGGCAAACTTACCTTTGCGCACCTTGAAGCTGATTTTCGGGGCTTTTTTGGCCTCCCAGAGGCTCAAGGGAAGCGTCTGCAGCCTTTGGAGGCCGAAAAACAGGCCTGTTTTGTCACTTCCTGTATTTCCGGAAATACATGATGAAACGGGCCCATTTTTCGGTCTCCGAAGGCTGCAGAGGCTTCCCTTGAGCCTCTGGGAGGCTGAAAAAGGACCAAAAATCAGCTGGGAGGTGCGTGCATGTGCAGTGCTGGTAAGGGGGCATGGGGGAATCATGCGTGCATACGAGCGAGCATGCACATAATTTTCGGCACAGGAGCCCAAAAAGGTTAGCCACCGTTGTTCTAAG